AACCGGATATTTTTCATCCGGTTTATAATCCGGATGAAAACCGTGAAAATCCGGATATCTGAAAAAAAAAAAAATCCGGATCAATCCGGATTGATCCGGATACGGGTCGAGGCACTAATTGAACCTATAAAAAAAAAGTAAAAAAAGTGAAAAGGATATATATATATATATATGTTAATCTTACTAAAATATTAAATTTTTATAAAAATCTTAATTTAGACTAATTCCAAAAATCGGCACATATGTTTTCGCAAAAAATATTTGATATTTATATCCTATTAACATATTAAATTTATTAATGTAATAATAAAAACAATCAAATTTTAATATTAACTGGTAAATAGTAATTACAGTCAACTCTCTTTATAGTCACATATTTGGGACAGTCCATATTTGGTGATTATAAAGAGATGTGACTATATAAAAAATTTCTTATATTAGTATATCATAATTCCGGCCAAAAATTAACAAAATTTTAGCAAAAATTATACTCAAAACTTTATTGTATCGTAACTCCGCCAATATTAATCGTAGAGAGATGATCTTACCGCCATTCGATTCGTCTTGATGAGACGGTTCTAATGGTATAAAATACATCGAAATCTAATCACTAGATTAATTTCCGAAATTAAAAAATATTAAATGGTTTTTAAGTAGTAACTCAGTCAATATTGATCAAAGAGAGATGAGCTTACCACCATTCGATTCGTCTTGATGAGGCGATTCCAACGAGCTATTAATCGTCTTTCTACAATCACTAGGTACTGAGAAATTTAGCAAAATGTTAAATGGCGCAGTAAATGTAAATTAAGAAATATAATAATGCCGATGCTTAACATTTTGTTGAATAACTCATCAGCTAGTGATCGCAAAAGGATAAAACTACCACCATACGATTCATCTCAGTGAGACGATTCTAACAAGCTATGATACATCTTTGTACGATTATTAGATGCCAAGTTATTTAATATATTCTTTATATAACTGTGATTATAAACGGTTCTTTTTAATATAAGATTTTGAGGATAGGTGTGATAGTGACTATAGATAGATTGTGACTATATAGGATAGTTTTTAATAATAAAGTGTTTTGAACATTCAACTGGTGTGACTATATAGTAGAATGTGACTATAACGGGAGTGACTATAGAGGGAGTTGACTGTATTTTATTATTAAGACGTATATTATTTAAATAGATTGATGTATTCCATATTTCTCTTTTAAAAAAGTATTTTATTAACTGTTTCTGCTTTTAATCTATTCCTTTCAGAAGTTATTTGGTTACCGGCATTATTAAAAAGTCGTTCACTACAGAATTCCCAGATATTTACATGCAACTTTAAACAATGTTGGAAACTTTTCCCTATTATCTATCCACCATTTGAAAATATCAGTATCAGGAGAAGCTTGAGATGTGCAAAAATTATCTAAATATTGAGTTAATTCATTATCAGTTGATAAATGTATTTGAGGACCAAATATCCTACTTGAAAAAGATTGAGATCGTGATTGAAATAATAGATAAATTTGTATAAATATGTCATTATCTTTATATTCTTTATATTCTGTATTCAATAAAAGTTTTGCTAGTTTCTGTAATTCATTAAACCAACCATATATCGTTTTAGATTTAGGATCTAATAAACTGGCTAATAAAGTAGAATTTGGCGAAATATTCCAATATTCAAAAAGAGCATCATAAATTCCTTTTTTTGATTGAATTAATTATAGAATTAATATCATCATCAGATGATAATGGTGAATATTCCACAAATTCATCCTCAATCTTCAAGTGTAAATTTTTTTCGTTATTTTCCTCATTATTTTCTATTTTAATTAATGGTTAAATTAGTAATTATTATTGTTATAATATAACATGATATTTATTAGAAAATAATTTAATATAATAATTGTTTACCATCACTATTTACCAAAATGTTTGGATCTGGTGTATAATCATATTTAAGTATTTGGATTGAAGAAAAAATTAAAGAAAGTGTGCAATATTTTTGACCTTCAAGAAACTGGGTAGCACTTTATTTCAATTGAAGTTAATGTTTCAATCAACTTATCAAGTAATTTCCATTCAATATCACTTAACATTAATGCTGTTAATCGTTGATAATTTTTTCTTGCTTCATAATCTGTTTCCAAGCTAAGTGTAACACATAAATAGTTTATTAGTTTTTTTAATTTTTTTAACTATTTCCAGGAAGCTAATTTTGATCCCCAACATGTTGGTACCTCTGTAATTGTTCTAAGATCTTTAATGGTTTGTTTTTTTCATGTTGATTGTTTTCATCAACATTTTCATTATTTTCCACAGAAGGTAATAATCCAGTTTTATTAGCTATTCATTCTTTTTGTTTAATTATTTCTCTTTGAGCATCTTTTAACCTTTCTATTTGCTTAGGTGATTCAAAAAACTGGTTTAATTTTGCATATTTTTGAAGATATAGTTTTATTTGTTTTAATCCTTTAAATATGCAAAGCTGAAGAGTATATGCTGAGCATGCTACTCTACTTACACCATCTTATTCATTAATTGCCTTAACCATATTACTCCCATTATCTGTTACTGCTACATTTACCTTTTTTTCTAATCCCAAAACCTTTAACTTTTCTTGAATAGTTTCGCAAATATGAGTTCTGGTATGTGGATATGAAATTTTTTCTACATATACCAATATATCATATAATTTCATTTCCTGAGTTAACCAATGATACGTTATACCAATATATCCAGTTTTAGCTCTTAAGGTCCAAAGATCAGTGGTAATAAAAGCATAAATGCAAATTTCTTCAATGTAATTCTTCATTAATTCAACTGTTATTTTATATCCACATCCTATATTTCATTTTAGAGTCGCATAACATGGTGGAATAAATGCTGGATTTATATTATTTATCATTTGCTTAAAACCTTTTTCTCGCACTGTATTAAAAGGTAATCTATCTGTAACAATCCAATCTGCTACTCCATTACGCAATTTTTGTTGTAATGGTTCCTTATATGGTGTAACTTTTTTAAATTATTCATCAACTTTTAATTGCTAGTAATGTAAAATTTAAAATTAATATATTTGCAGATCTGTTTTAATTATGCAAATCAATACGTACTTCAGATTTTTTTTCATATTCCTTATGAATATTATTAATATAATATATCATAGTACTTGTTTGTGTTTTATAGATACAACTATATTCGCATTCATCACCATTGTCATTATTATTATACCTGCAATATGCACGATCATTTGTTTTAGCCTGAAAAAACTTTCATACAAAACTTGTTTTTCTAGTATTAGAAATCCATTGTAGTTCTTGTTCTTCTTGTTCTTCTATTTGCGTAATATTGCATTGTTTTTTAGATAAATGTGAAATTTCTTTTCTTTTAACACGCTTTTTTGAACCTGAAATATTTGCCATTTAAAAGTATATAATATATTTTTTGCGATATTTTTTGCGAATAAGGAAATTTTAACACCAATAATATTGTAATATAAAATTACTTGCACATAGTTGACAATTAAAGAAAGTAGAAATTCGCTTAATTTCCATAAATTACAAATATATTTTTAATTTTTGTTTGATCGACCAATATATGATTATATATTTCAATCAATTAGTTTGATATCGATGATTGGTTAGCTTAATTGATTGTACATTTAGCCAATTATAATTAATTGGATTTAAAATCATATGATCAATGATCAATCAAATTAATCAATCATCGATCATAATCAATATAATTAAATTCCCTATGTGTGTCAGATCAGCCGATTTGTCATATGACTGAAAGTTTTTATTTCGACCAGTGCACAGAGAAATACTACTAATAATTTTTACATTAAAATTGAATTTGGTATGAAAGTTTGAAATAAGAAAGTTTAAACTTCATTTTCTCATCAACCAAAGCTTATATTGAAATAAAAATGCAACTATTAGATTCCTTGCAATTATGAGATTTAAATAATGGTCTTTTGACCAGATTTTCGCCAAAATTTTCCCATTCCATTTTTAAAAATCACCACATGCACAGTTGCCGTAAATACGAAAAAAATTGCCTTTTTGGTAAAAAAGTCTCCAGTTAATCTTTATATTATTATGTACTTGTACATGTACATGAACATGAACATGAACATGAACATGAACATGAACATGTACAGTACATGTACATGTACAGAGAAAGTGAACATTCACTATGGAAACTTTTTGCGCTGAGTTTAACTGTGCTGCTCAAAAAGAATGTTAACTTGACAGATCATGAAATAGTATGTTGATCATTTTTTATTAAAATGTGAAAAAAAAAAAAAAATTTTTTTTTTTAATCAAAAACGTCAAAAATTTGATTGAAAAATCAAAAAAAATTAATTTTTTTTAATCAAAACGTCAGACTTGACGTTTTTGTGATTGAAAAATCAAAAAAAAAATAATTTTTTTTAATCAAAATGTCAGACTTGACGTTTTTGTGATTGAAAAATCAAAAATAATTGATTTTTTTTAATCAAAAACGTCAAAATAATTGATTTTTTTAATCAACTTGACATTTTTGTGATTAAAAAATCAAAAAAAAATGATTTTTTTAATCAAAAACGTCAGACTTGACTAAAGCTCCGAACAGTTCCGGTTTGAACCGGGAACTGATCCGGAACCAGCAAAAAATTCGGTTCGGTTCTAGGTTCGGTTTTGGACTTGAAACCGTCCGGTTCGGTTCGGTTCTATCTGAAATTAAGAAAAAATGCGAAAAACGAATATACGACTATCCAGTGATCGTACAAGGACGAGCCATAGCTCGTTGGAATCCTCTCATCGAGACGCGTCGAATGGTGGTAAAA